CCTACCTCATATCAAAACAGGGCAAGCATTCAAGAGCTCTCAAGTTTTATCTTGTAAAAGAGACCTTTGGAGAGATCTTATTAAATTAAATTACATATAAAATCACTGGTGTATATTTTTCTGCCCACAGTCACGTGGTTATGACTTGCTCCATTAAAAGAAAAAAAATTTAAAAATTAGCCATTTAGGATGTATGTAGCAATCTACAACTGTTCCTGTGAGAGCTACAACCATTTTAGTGCATTAGATTTACACCTCCAAAAAATTAGTAGTTCTCAAAGGCATTCTTCTTCAAACTAACAGTGTTGTCTACACTTGTATTAGAGGGCAATGGTACAATAGCTTGCATTAACTTTAGAAGTACTTCACTAACTAAACAAACTCGGAAAATATTTTATCAACAGTTCTCTTCAACTATGACTGGGAGGGATTCCGTGGGAAGCTTCCATAGAGGATAAAGGAGTCAGCAAGTGCTGGGAGTTTTTCCAGAACGCTCTCCTGGAAGCACAAAAACAGTTCAACCCCAATGAAAGGTAAGGGAAGAGCAAGAGACCACCTTGTCTTAAGTGCGAGCTTCTAAGTCTGCTCAAAACGAAAAGCATAGCAGAGATGGAAAAGCAGACAAACACCTGTTGAGAACTACAAGGGCATTGCCAGGGCATGTTAGAAAAGCAAAAGCTCAGCTCAAACTGAAATTTGCCAGAGATGTCAAAAACTACAAGAAAGGGTTTTCAGCTATGTAAACAACAAGCAGAAACAGAACAAAAATATTGGCCCGCTGTTAAACAGGAGAGGTGGATTTATCACCAGCAATGCTGAAAAGGCAGAGGTTCTCTACACTTTCTTCACCTCTGTCTTTACCAGCACTGTTGAGCCCCAGGCCTTGGGAACAAAAATCCAGGTTGATGCAAACACAGACCCACCATCAGTGAAGGAAGAGTCGGTATGCAAACTATTACAGGAGCTTGACCCCTACAAATTGATGGGCCCTGATGTTATCCTCCCAAGGGTGTTAAGAGAGCTGGTTGACATTGTTGCAAGGCTGCTCTCCATAATCTTTGAGAAGTCACGCAAAACGGGGGACATCCCAGAAGACTGGAAAGCAGCTAACGTCACCCCCATCTACAAGAAGAGCCAAAACGAGGGCCCAGGAAATTAGTGGCCCATCAGTCTTACTTCGGTCCCTGGGAAAGTTATGGAACAAATCCTCCTGGAGCCTATCACAAGTCAAATGAAGCACGTGACTGGGAAAAGCCAGCATGGATTCACCAAGGGCAAACCATGCTTGATAAACCTGATCACCTTCTTGGACAAAGTAACCTGCTTGGTTGATCTGGGGTGAGCGGTGGACATTGTCTACCTGGATTTCTCCAAGACTTTCGACACAGTTTCCCAGAGCCTCCTGCTAGAGAAACTGATGTGTTATGGTCTAGACAAGAGGTCTGTGCCGTGGGTGGGGACCTAACTGACAGGCCGCACCCAGAGGGCGGTGATAAATAGCTCCTTTTCAAACTGGCAACCTGTCAGAAGTGGGGTCCCCCAGGGATCAATACTGGGTCTAACTGTTCAATATCTTCATAAGTCATCTGGATGATGGGATCAAGTGTACCCTGATGAAGTATGCTGATGACAGCAAACTGAGTGGGGAAGTGGACACTTCAGAAGGGGGAGCCACCCTGCAGGAAGACCTGGATAGGCTGGAAGAGTGGGCTATCAAGAACCTTATGAAGTTTGATAGGACGAGGGGAAATACCTTCAAAACTGGAAGAGGGTAGATTTAAATTAGATTTTAGGAAGACATTTTTCACTCTGAGCATGGTGAGCCACTGGAACGGGTTGCCCAGAGAAGCTGTAGAAGCTCCATCCCAGGAGGTGTTCAAGGCCAGGCTGGATGGGGCTTTGAGCAACCTGGTCTAGTGGGAGGTGTCCCTGCCTATGGCAGGGGGGTTGGAACTCTATGATCTTCAAGGTCCCTTCCAACCTAAACCATTCTATTATTCAACAAAGGCAAGTGTGAAGTCTTGCCCCTGGGAAAACACAATCCAGGAGTGCAGCACAGGCTGCCCAGCTGGGAAGCAGCTCTGTGCAAAGGGACCTGAGGGTCCCAGTGGACAACAAGCTCAATAGGAGTGAATAGTGTGCTGCTGCGGCAAAGCAAGCCAACAGGATGCTGCATTGCATCAACAAGGGCATCACCAGCAGAGATAAAAAATCATTATCCCACTCCACTCAGCGCTTGTCAAGCCACACCTGGAATACTGTGTTCAGTTTTGGTCCCCACTATACAAAAAAGATGTGGACAGGCTGGAGAGGGGCCAGAGAAGGCCCACAAAGGTGAACTGGGAAGCCTGCCACATAAGGAAAGGCTGAGAGAACTGAGCTTGCGTAGCCTTGAGAAAAGAAGCCTTAGGGGACACCTTATCACCATGTTCCAGTATTTAAAGGGTAGCTACAGAGAAGATGGAGACTCACTTTTTACAAGGAGCCACATGGAAAAGATGAGGGGTAATGGGTACAAGTTACTCCTGGGGAGATTCTGACTGGACACAATAGGAAAATTTTTCACAATGAGAACAATCAGCCATGAGAATAATCTCCCCAGCAAAGTGGTGGATTCCCCAACAGTGGACACTTCTAAGGTTCAGGGGAACAGGGTGCTGGGCCATCTTGCCTAGACCGCATGTTTGCCAAGAACAATTGGACCAGGTGATCCTTGAGGTCCCTTCCAACCTGGTATTCTATGATTCTATGAAAATAATAGAAAGATTACTACAGTAACTACATGATCTTTTATTGCTGTATCAGCTACTGTCTGATACATTGATGCAACTTCCAAATAGAATTTCTCCACTGTGCATCAGATGCAAATACTTGTGCAAACAATCGGTGCTTCTGTGTTTCAAAGTCCCCCCACTAACAAACTAGCTGGATGTTTGCTATCATCTGCATCTTGCCACAAATTACCTCAAAAAGCTGTGTTACTAAACACCACAGCCACAAAATAAAGGTGGACGCTGTCATTTGAGATATTTAGCACAATCGTACTCCTATAAAACTCCTCCACTAAGGTGCTGAGAAGCAGTGAAAGTAAATTGCACTTTTAAAAGGTTAGCTCAGTCCCCTGCATTGCTTTGAAAGTTTCAGTTAGGTAAGGCAATTGTTTGACTCTGCATTGCAAAACACAGAAAATCAAAGCTTGCCTGAAACAAGATAACAGTCTGCTAATATTCAGTTATGGTAACCATTTGACAATTTCTTTTTCTAAATATGGCAAAGCTGCTTTCTTAAGGAAAACTTATTACCTTCCTAGGAGAGAATGAAAACATAAGGTAACATGGCTGTAAAGTATATGTTAAGTAATTTAAAATTTAAACTGCTGTTACATTTTGTATTATAAAATAATATTCATTTGTAGCATTCTTACACTGATTTCAAGGGTTTTTTTAAAGGATGATGAAATTTCATTGCAGAAGTGCAACCCTTCGCAGCATGGCACAGATAATAGGAATTGTTCCACTCTCTTCACAGAATCACCGAATGGTCAGGGTTGGAAGGGACCTCTGGAGATCATCTAGTCCAAACCCCCCGCCAGAGCAGGGTCACCTACAGCAGGTTGCACAGGACAACGTCCAGGCAGGTTTTGAATGTCTCCAGAGGGGGAGACTCCACAACCTCTCTGGGCAGCCTGTTCCCGTGCTCCACTACCCTCAAAGTAAAGAAGTTCCTTCTCATGTTAAGATGGAACTTCCTATGTTCAAGCTTGTGCCCATTACCCCTCGTCCTATCACTGGGCACCACTGAAAAAAGACTGTTCCTATCCCCTGGCACCCTCCCTTTAGGTATTTGTAAGCATTAATAAGATCCCCCCTCAGTCTTCTTTTCTGTAGACTAAAGAGACCCAAGTCCCTCAGCCTTTCCTCATATGAGAGATGTTCTAATCCCCTGATCATCTTTGTAGCCCTTTGCTGGACCCTCTCCATCATACCCCTGTCTTTCTTGAACTGGGGGGGCCCATCAATCATATATTGATGTTATTGTGACCAACTGTTTTATTTTCCTGTGATACAACAGTCAATAACAAATTGGTCAATTTCCAATCCCATTCATTTAAATGTAAACTAGATCAGTGAACCAGTAATCTCACTCTTTAAGTATAGAGAAGAAGTTGCCATGTGTTAAAATTAAGGGTTAGCACCAGCATTTACATAGGTTACATTATTAAAACAATAAAGAACAATGCTACTTGGATTTAATCCCATTTAGAGTACAACCTTCACAGAATAAACACTGACGTTAAAAAGCCTAAGTTATGGTACAAATACATTTTCAGGAAGATTCGGCAAAAATACTACCGTCACTATTTTCAGGTAAATTACCAATGGATGCATCTTCCATGACGTTTACGAACAGTCAGCACTAGAATGTGGAATTCCACTTTGACCCACCAAAGCTCCCAAATCATTGTTGCTTCTATCCAAGCACCATAGAAAGACTCTTGCACAGGAGAATCAGTTGACAATTAGCTCACCTATCCTCTAGGCCTTCAGGGTTAATCTGCTAGGATAGGACAGGGCATCGCTAGAACCACTGGGATTTGTATCAAGATTTTTTCAAAGAAATTCAGTATCAGGCTAAAAATTAAATACCCAAACTGAATGAAATGTTGAATATTGGTGTTCCTCGCTGCTATTGGAGAAAGATTTGAAGTGATTAACAGTTTTACTCTTATGAACAAAAAATACTGAAAGAACAAAAATGATTCACCATTTGTTGATAAGCACAAAATTATATTGGTTTCACTAAGCTTAGTAGTTATCCTCAAACATGATTCCTGAAAGAGTAAATCACTCAGTTTTGATTTTTGATAGGTAGAGGTTTCCAAATAAAATATAAACAGATGCTTCTGAAAACAAGCTAAAATGAAAAGTGCTTAATCTACACACAAGAGATCAAAAGCAACTAAGTAACTTAAATGAGAGGGGGGAAAAAAAAGGACATACCTTTGAACACTGTTTATGATTCTGGCACCAAGCAAGTGACCCATTGTTCTGAAAGACAAAAAAACCCATGAATATTAATATTTCTTTAAGACTACACATGATCACCCTAACAGGTTTAAACAGAATTCAGCTTCCAGTTCTGCTTAGAGAATGATGTTGTGTCACAGCATTAGTACCAATCCTGACTCCAACTACCTTGCGTTGAGTAAAAGGCTCAGGCAAGTGTAAAGTGACCAGAGAAAAGTTAGGAAAGCACTTCATCAAGCAAGGCTGGTGAAAAACTGACTTAGGTCACCTTTTAGTCCATCTTTGTCAACACTTACTATCAAACATCAAACAAAAGGTAACGCCTTTATTTAAGAAATTGATATGGATTGGTAGTTATTCATGAAAGGAAAGCCCATTAGTCACATTTCAATATTGCACAATACTTAAAATAAATTATCAAGGAAAGACAATGAATGGCCTTGAAGTAAATGGCAAATTCAATTAAATGTGACGTGAGTTTACCAAAAGTCAACCATGCCAGTTTTATTTCACATTTTTGATAATAAAGTGCATTTCCCAGATGATGAAACACTATAGCTCTCATTTATCATGACTGCAGTAAAACAACCAATACAGTATCCCAGGCAAAATAATAATTTAAGCTAAAGGAAAAGAGAACATGATGAGAAGAGAAAAATAAATATGAAACTGGCACAGGGACAAACAGCAACCTGCTGTTCTACTAGAGGATCTTCTGAAGGGTCAACTTCAGAAACAGTATTTCCCAGTAAACAAAACACATCTCAGCAAAGAGAAGTGTGTGTTTCTGGGATTAACACATGAGACAAAATATTAATTCACTTTCTGTATAATGAAAGATTGAAACAACATCAGGAAGACCTCAGTGAGTCTGTGGACTGAACACAAGAAATGGGGCAAAACTTACAACACAGAGTGCGTGTTCATGCACTTCGGAACTTAAACATATATATTTCTTCCATAATTTATAAGCTCATACTCCAGAAACAGAACAGAAGATGATTCTGATAAATTTCTTGTTCACAATCTTACTACGGTGGTGAGTCTATGAGGGAGTAATAGGACGTCCTTTCATATGAATTAGCCAAGGTATTTCCGCTGGGATGAATTAATGTGATTATACTATGCCTTCACCTTTGGCACTGACTATAGATCTGAAGTCGGTCTACATCGAAGCAGAATTCAGGTAGGCCAGAATCCAAGGGACTAGCAAGATTATACTTTTTCTTTTTGTTTTTCTTTGTTTGAATAACGGGAGATGTAAACAATGGAATAATATACATACATACATTGTTATGTATAAAATCACACAGATATAGCCAGAATTATTCTCTGAATGTACAACAGCTACAATTCAGAAGCAGAAATAGATACATTAGCATGCATTGTAACCAAGCCAACTAGACCAGTTTCTCATAACAGCAGTGCCCTGTTCTGATCTCAGCAAAGTTTATAAGCTTGAATTCAGTGGCTTGCTACCACAGCTATGAAGCCTACACTTTGAATCCCTCTTAGGAAACCTTTGAAGAGATCACGTTTGTGCATGTCTTCATAAACGTACATAGCCATGCCTTCACACATGCTCCCAAGATGTGGCCAGTAGGTCAAGGGAAGTGATCATCCCCTCTGCTCAGCTCTGGTGAGACCCACCTGGACTACTGCATCCAGCTCTGGAGCCCCCAGCACAAGACATGGATCTGTTGGAGAAGGTCCAGAGGAGGGCCACAAAAAATGATTGGAGGGATGGACCCTCTTCTGTGAGGAAAGGCTGAGAGTTGGGGTTTTTCAGCCTGGAGAAGAGAAGGCTCCAGATACACCTTATTGTAGCCTTTCAATACATAAAGGGGGCTTAGAAGAAAGTTGGAGACAGACTTTTTACAAAGGCCTGTAGTGACTGAACAAGGGGCAATGGTTTTAAACTGAAAGAGGGTATACAAAGATTGAACATAAAGAAGAAATTGTTTACGATGAGGGTCGTGAGACACTGGAACAGATTGCCCAGAGAAGTGGTCAATGCACCATCACTGGAAGTTTCCAAAGTCACATTGGACAGGGCAACCTGATCTTGTGAAAGATGTGCCTGCCCCGAGCAGAGGGTTGGACTAGATGGTCTTTAAAGGTTTCTTAATGCTTTAAGGATCCCTTCCAACACAAACCATTCCGATCCTGTGATTCTATGACTGAAGATTGTTCAAATCACATACTCATAGAATGACTGAGTTTGGAAGATACCACTGGAGGTCACCTGATCCAACCCCCTTGCTCAAGAATGGACACCTACAGGTGTTGCCCAGGACAAGGTCCACATAGCTTTTGAATATCTCCAAGGTGGCAGACTACACAACATCTCTGGGAAACTTGTGCCACTACTCAGTCACTCTCACAGCAAAAAAAAAAAAAAAAAAAAAAAAAGGGTTTCCTTATGCCCAGAGGGAACCCC